GGGGTAAAGGGGGTAATGGGGGTAATGGGGACAATGGGGGTAATGGGGGTAATGGGGGTAATGGGGGTAATGGGGACAGTGGGTACTGGGGGTAATGGGGACAATGGGGGTAATGGGGTAATGGGGGTTAGGGACAATGGGGGTAATGGGGACAGTGGGGACAGTGGAGGCAATGGGGACAATGGGGACAGTGGGAACAATGGGGACAACGGGGACAGCAGGGACAGTGGGATGTGGCAGATAATGGGGACAATGGGGACAGTAGGGACGGTAGGGACAGTGGGATGTGGGGGATAATGGGGACAGTGGGGACAATGGGGACAACGGGGACAATGGGATGTGGGGGATAATGGGGACAATGGGGCAGTGGGGACAGTGGGGACAGTGGGGACAATGGGGTGTGGGGTACAGTGGGATGTGGGGCCAATGGGATGTGGGGACGTGGGGGTGGGGAGGTGGGGGACAATGGGATGTGGATCAGTGGGTTGTGGGGATGTGGGGGATAATGGGATGTGGGGACATGGGGATGTGGGGATATGGGGACATGAGGATATGGGGGATATGGGGATGTGGGGATATGGGGGACATAGGGATATGGAGATATGGGGACATGGGACATGGAGATACAGGGATATGGGGATATGGGACATGGGGATACAGGGATATGGGGATATGGGACATGGGGATGGGGGGACATGGGGATATGAGGATGTTAGAGCATGGGGATATGGGGACACTCTGACATGGGGATATGGGTATATGGGGATATTTGGGACATGGGGGACATTGGGGCAATGGGATATGGGGACATGGGGACACGCTGACCTGGGGATATGGGGATATCTGGGACATGGGGGACATTGGGACAATGGGATATAGGGACATGGGGATATGGGGGACATGGGGAAATTGGGGATCTCTGTGGGGAGAGCAGGTGATGCCAACAGTCATGGGGACATGGGGTGGCAGCAGCATGGGGATGGGAGGAGATGACAGAGGGATGGGGGTGGTGATGGCAGGGTCATGTGTGTGGGGACAGCTTGGGGACAGGGATGGCATGGCCATGGGGGTGGCCTGGGTGTGGGAACAGGGATGGGGACAGGGATGGGGACAGGGATGGGATGGGATGGGATGGGATGGATGGGATGGGATGGATGGGATGGGATGGATGGATGGATGGATGGATGGATGGGATGGGATGGGATGGGATGGATGGGATGGGATGGGTTGGATGGGATGGATGGGATGGGATGGATGGGATGGATGGGATGGGATGGATGGGATGGGATGGATGGGATGGATGGGATGGGATGGATGGGATTGGACTGGATGGATTGGATTGGATGGATGGATGGGATGGATGGGATTGGATTGGATTGATGGGATGGGTGGGATTGGATAGATGGGATGGATGAGATGGGATGGGATGGGATGAATGGGATGGGATGATGGGATGGGATGGATGGGATGGGGATGGATGGGATGGATGTGATGGATGGGATGGAATGGGGATGAATGGGATGGATGGGATGGGATGGATGGGAATGATGGGATGGGATGGGATGGGATAGATGGGATGGGATGGGATGAGATGGATGGGATGGGATGGATGGGTAAGGAAGGAGATGGATGGGATAGGATGGGATGGGATGGGATGGATGGGATGGGATGGATGGGATGGAATGGGATGGGATGGGATGGACGGGATGGGATGGGATGGGATGGGATGGACGGGATGGGATGGGATGGGATGGGATGGGATGGATGGGATGGGATGGGAGGTGCAGCAGCCTCTGTCTGTCCCCACATGTCCATGTGTCCCGTTGGCTCAGCAGGTCCCCGCTGTCTGTCCCATGGGTCCATGTGTTCCCATGGGCTCGTGTGTCCCCATGGGTGCATGTGTGCTCGTGTCTCCACGTGTCCCCCCATCGCCTGCTGCTTCCCTCTCCATCCTTCTCTTGCTGCATCCGGATGTCTCCCATCTGGCCCCGTCTGTCTCCATGGACCGGGTGTCCCCAGTCTGTCCCCATGGCTCTGTCCCCATGCATCCGTCTGTCCCCGTACCCCCCATGTCCTCCCATCCCCGTGTCCCCACTGGGCCGCGTTGGTGGTGACCGGGCTCCTCTTTGCTCTCACAGAGCTTGCCCAGACCCTGCCCCGTCGCGGGGGGTCCCCGGTGCCACCAATTGCATCCCCACCACCCCCGAGGTCCCCGGTGCCAGCCGCATCCCCGGGCTCCCCGGTGTCACCGGATGCACCCTTGGGCTCACCAGGCTCTTTGGGGTCACCGGCAGCACCGCCAAGGCTTCCGGTGGCCCCGGTGTCTCGAGGGTCCCCAGCATCTTCGAGGTCCCCGGGGTCCCCAGCAGCCCCAGTGTCCCCGGAGTCCCCAGCACTGCCACAGGCCCCCGTGGCACCTCCAGCTCCGTGGTCCCCAGGGCTCCCTGGTGGCCCATCCCTGCATGACCTGGGGGCCAAGCTCGCCTCCTACAACGGCTCCTTGCTGCAGCGCCTGGAGAGCCACCTCCGGGCCACCAACTTCCCCCTGCGGGGCAACCAGACGGTGGCCACGGTGGCCAGGGCCATCCTCTCATACCTGCTCCGCCGCAGCCCGGCCGCGCTCCGGCACCAGCTCCTCCAGCAGCTGCCCCATCCCAAGCCCCATTTGATGCCGGGGGCTGCCGGGGAGGCTCTGGTGGACCTGGAGGGGCTGCGGGGCCATGCAGAGACGGTGGTGATCCGGTACCGGCTCCTGGAAGAGCCGGAGGGCGCTGAGGGGGAGCTGCGGGTGCCAGGGGACACGGTGCTGGCCCGGGTGCCGGGGCTGGTGCCGGGTGCCAGGTACCGGGTGGAGGTGCACGGCCTGGTGCGGGGCCACGTCTCCAAGTCCTACACGTTCCTGGTGACAGCAGGTGGGTGATGGGGGTGCAGACAGGGACACGGGGGTACAGGGGCATCCCATAACCACCCGCTGCAATCCTGCCATAGGGGTGGGCGGCACCGAGGAGCCGCCACTGGGTTGGGAGCAGATGTACGAGATGGAACCAACCGAGCCCCAAGGAGCCCCAGCTAAAGAAGGTACCAAGAGTCCATGGGGACAATGAGGGAGACTCAGGTGTCCGGGCTGAGCTGCTCTGGGGAGACAAGTTGGTGATGGTGGGATAGATGGATGGATGGAGGGATGGAGGGATGGATGGACGGGTGGTGGACGGCTGGATGGATGGAGGATGGATGTGTGATGGATGATGGATGATGATGGATAATGGATGATGGATGGATGGATGGATGGATGGATGGGTGGGTGTATGGATGGGTGAGTGGGTGATGGATGGGCGGATGAATGGATGGATGGATGGATGGATGGATGGATAGATCATGGATGGATGGATGGATGGGTGGATGGATGGATGGATGGTTGGGTGGATGGATGGATGGATGGATGGGTGATGGATGGATGGATGGATGGTTGGATGGATGGATGGATGGATGGGTGATGGATGGATGGATGGATGGATGGTTGGGTGGATGGATGGATGGATGGATAGATCATGGATGGATGGATGGGTGGATGGATGGATGGATGGATGGGTGGATGGATGGATGGATGGATGGGTGATGGATGGATGGATGGATGGTTGGATGGATGGATGGATGGATGGATGGATGGATGGATAGATCATGGATGGATGGATGAATGTGTGGATGGGTGGATGGCTGGATGATGGATGGATGGATAGATGATGAATAGATATGAAAGACACAAGAGGGACATGGAGCTGTTGGAGTGCATCCAGAGCAGGCCATGGAGATACTTCAAGGGCTGGAGCAGCTCTGCTCTGGAGCCAGGCTGAGAGAGCTGGGCTGGGGCAGCCTGGAGAAGAGAAGGCTCCTGAAGGGGAGACCTGAGAGCAGCTCCAGTGCCTAAAGGGGCTGCAGGGAACCTGGAGAGGGGCTTCTACAACAGCGTGTAGGGGTGGGACAAGGAGTAACAACTTCCAACTGGAAGAGGGAGGAGTTGGGTGGGATGTTGGGGAGTTCTTCACCATGAGGGTCATGGGACATAAGAATGGGTTGCATAAACAGGGTTTTGAGCAACCTGCTCTAGTGGGAGGTGGCCCTGCCCATGGTGGGGGTTGGAACTGGATGAGCTTTATGAGATCGCTTCCAACCCAAACCATTCCATGATTCTATGGAAAGCTGGATATGTGGAGGAGGTGATGAATGGGTGGAAAGGAGAGAGGAATGGACAGATGGTTGGGTGATGGCTGGATGGATGGAAAGAGGGATGGATGGTTGGGTAGGTGGATGGCAAGTTGGAAACTGGGTGGGTTGATTCAAAGGCTGGTGTAAGAAGAATTGACTGGAAGACCAGGTCATTCCATGGACAGAAACGTGGAATTTTGAACTGGTTACATGAAAGGACAGGTAATCAATGAACAAAGGACACACACCAGCAGGAATGGACAGTTAGGCAGATGGCACCATGACCCACTTGTATCAATGGGAGGATGGACGGGTGCTGGCATTGGAGGGTGCATGAGCAGACATGGGGGTGGACAGAGGATGAAGGACGCAGGGATGGGTGGATCTTCACATTCTGCATCGACCATCCCACAGCAGAGCCGGCCCCACCATCGGAGGAGCCACCAGTCAAGCCCCGCCTGGGCGAGCTCAGGGTCTCCAATGTCACCCCCAGCTCCGTGCAGCTGGAGTGGAGCGTCCCCGAGGGTACCTTTGACTCCTTCACTGTGCAGTACCGGGATGCTCAAGGCCAACCTCAGGCACTTGCAGTTGATGGTGGCTCCCGCACGGTGACGGTGTCGGGGCTGTCCCCATCCCGACGCTACAAGTTCAACCTGTATGGGGTGTGGGGACGGAAGCGGGTTGGTGTCATCTCCACTGACACCATTACAGGTGAGGATATCCCCAGGTCTGCCCGTGTCCTCTGCAAGCAGTAGGTATAGAGAAGATCTAGAGCCTTGGAAGATCCCTTGATATTGAGGGATAGGGGAGGAATATCTCTCCCTGGGTTTGTGGAGGTGGCAACATGTGAGGTCAGAGGAATGGGGGGATATTGATATAGAAAGCAGGAATATTGGATGATTGGGTGGTGGATAGTTGGGAAATGCACGATTGGGAGTGGATGGCTGGCTGGCTGCATGGATGGATGGTCATGCAGATGTTCATTCCCTGCATTGTGGCCTCTCCATTGCAGCCCCAGCTCCACAGGAGGAGGAACCAGCATCGCAGCCAGTGCTGGGTGAGCTCCGGGTGTCCGACGTCACCTCTGACTCCGTGCATCTGGAGTGGAGCGTCCCCGAGGGCACCTTTGACTCCTTCACGCTGCAGTACCGCGATGCACAAGGCCAGCCCCAGGTGCTGCCCGTGGACGGGGGTTCCCGCACGCTGACGGTGCCGGGGCTGTCCCCGTCCCGCCGCTACAAGTTCAACCTGTACGGGCTGTGGGGTCGCACCCGCCTGGGCCCCGTCTCCACCGACACTGTCACAGGTGAGGGGGCTCTGGCACCAGCCCCGCTGAACCGCGCTTTGTAGGGGACAGAAGCTCGGGCAGGGCCCGTGCTCGTCCCTTGGGCAATGGAGGAAAGGTGGGGATTTGGGATCAATGGAAGGATGGGGGTGTGACGGGTTGCAAGGATGGATGGGTTGTTGAGCGTGGATGGATGGGTGGATGGACGGATAGGTAGTTGGGTGGATAGCTGGGTGGAGAGTTGAATGGTTGACGGTTGAATGCATGGGTGAATGGATACAGCTATGGGGGTTGTTATATTTCGGTTCTGATTCAAACTCTCACATGACTCTTTTCATTGCTGGATGATTCATTGGAGGGATGGGTTAAAGAACCACTGCACAGAAGAGTGCAGTGAATGACAGAATAATGAATAGGTGCATGGATGGAAGGGTGGATGATGGGTGAGTGGATCATGGATGGATGGATGCATGTATGGATGGATGGATGGATGGATGGATGGAAGAAAGGATTTATTAGTAGGAGGATGAGTAGAGAGTAACGTTGTTTGTTGAATGAGTGGAGGGCTGAATGATAGCGTAATGCATGGAGTGCTGAATGGATGAACGGATACAACACTGGCTGCTTGGACTGATGGATCTTTGATAGACTCTGAAAGTCTGCAAAGGCAGGTTTCCCTTTGATGAATCAGTGATTGAATGTACAGAAGGCGGCGGTGGGGTTTGGGCCTCATCATGTGTTGAGTGTTTGAAATGTCTCTAGAGCAGCATGGCGTCCTGTGAGAGGGTTGGATAGGACGGAAGAATGGATGTATTTGGATTGATGAGCAGAAGGATGGACAGATGGAGCCATGGAATATAGAATGTCTGGAGTGCTGTGTCCCAGCATGAAGAGTTGCATGGATGAACGTGTACATCAATGGATAACTGATCAGATGGTGGATGTGCGAGTATGTCACAGATCCTGTACTGGGTACTTGATAGGACTTTGTAGATGCATGGGTGGAAGGAAAGGTGGAAAGGAGGATGATGGATGGAGGTAGTGATGAATGAATGAATGATGAATGGATCAGTGGGGCTGTGACGGGTTGGAAGGATGGAGGGGGTGTTGAGCATGGATGGGAGGATGATGGATGGAGGTAGTGATGAATGAATGAATGATGAATGGATCAGTGGGGCTGTGACGGGTTGGAAGGATGGAGGGGGTGTTGAGCATGGATGGATGGATGGGTGGATATTTGGGTGGAATAGTAGGGTAGATAGTTGGGTGGATAGTTGGGTGGAGAGTTGAATGGTTGACGGTTGATGGATGGATGGAGAGATGTTGAATGGATGGATGGATGGATGGATGGATGATGGATGGATGATGGATGGTTGATGATGGATGGATGATGAATGGATGGATGGGTGGAGGATGGATGGATGGATGGATGATGGAAGATGAGTGGATGGATGGGTGGATGGATGGATGGATAGATGGATGATGGATGATGAATAGATGGATGGATGTTGGTTACATGGGTGTATGGGTGGGTGGGTGGAGGATGGATGTTTGGATTAAAAGTGGATAATGAATGGATGGATGGATGGATGGATGGATGGATGATGGATGATAAATAGATGGATGGATGTTGGATAGATGGATGGATGGGTGGGTGGGTGGAGGATGGATGGGTGGATAAAGGATGGATGATGAATGGATGGACGGATGGAGGGTGGATGGAGGATGGATGGATGGATGGATGGTGAATCGATGCTTGGATGGTGAATGGATGCTTGGATGGATGGATGATGGATGGATGATGAATGGATGAATGCATGAATGGATTGATGGAAGGATGATGGATGGATGGATGGATGTTGAATGGATGGATGGATGATGGGTGATGGATGGATGATGATGGATGGATGGATGGATGATGAATGGATGAATGGATGGATGGATGGATGATGAATGGATGGATGGGTGGAGGATGGATGGATGGATTGATGATGGATGGATTGTGAGTGGATGGATGGATGATGGATGCTGAATGGATGGATGGATGTTGGATAGATGGATGGATGGGCGGGTTGGGTTAGGATGGATGGGTGGATTAAGAGTGGATGATGAATGGATGGATGGATGGATGGATGGATGGATAGATGGGTGATGGATGATGAATAGATGGATGGATGTTGGATAGATGGCTGGATAGGTGGGTGGGTGGAGGATGGATGGGTGGATTAAGGATGGATGATGAATGGATGGATGGATGGATGGAAGGATGGATGGATGATGGATGGATGGATGATGAATTGATGGATGGGTAGAGGATGGAGGGATGATGGATGGATGATGATGGATGGATGGATGGATAGATAATGGATGGATGGATGGATGGATGGATGATGAATGGAGGATGATGGATGGATGGATGGATGGATGGATGATGGATGGATGGATGGGTGGAGGATGAATGGACGGGTGATGCATGGATGATGAATGGATGGATGGATGGACGATGGATGGAGGATGGATGTATGTATGTATGGATGGATGGATGAATGGATGGAGGATGAACGGATGAATGGATGGATGGATGGAGAATCGATGCTTGGATGGTGAATGGATGCTTGGAGGGATGGATGATGGATGGATGATGAATGGATGGATGCATGAATGGATGGATGGAGGGATGATGGATGGATGATGGATGGATGGATGGATGTTGAATGGATGGATGGATGGATGATGGGTGATGGATTGATGATGATGGAGGGATGGAGGATGAATGGATGGATGGTTGGAGGATGGATGGACGGATGATGGATGGATGGTGAATGTATAGATGGATGATGGATGGATGGTGGATGGATGCTTGGATGGATGGATGATGGATGGATGATGAATGGATGGATGGATGGATGGATGGATGATGGATGGATGTTGAATGGATGGATGGATGGATGGATGATGAATGGATGGATGGATGATGAATGGATGGATGGATAGACAGATGATGGATGGATAGATGGATGGATGGATGGATGGATTACGGATGGATGATGATGGATGGATGGATGGATGGTGAATTGATGGATGGATGGATGGGTGGAGGATGAATGGACGGATGATGGATGGATGATGAATGGATGGACAGATGGAGGGTGGATGGAGGATGGATGGATGGATGGATGGATGGATGGATGGATTGTGAATCGATGCTTGGATGGTGAATGGATGCTTGGATGGATGGATGATGGATGTATGATGAATGGATGGATGCATGAATGGATTGATGGAAGGATGATGGCTGGCTGGATGGATGTTGAATGGATGGATGGATGATGGGTGATGGATGGATGATGATGGATGGATGGATAGATGGATGATGGATGGATTATGAATGTATGGATGGATGATGGATGGATAGATGGTGAAGGGATGCTTGGTTGGATGGATCATGGAAGGATGATGAATGGATGGATGGATGGATGGAGGATGGTTGGATGGAAGGATGGATGGATGGATGATGGATGGATGGATGGATGATGGATGGATGGATGGATGGGTGGGTGGGTGGAGGACGCACGGGTGGATTATGGATGGATGATGAATGGATGGATGGATGGATGATGGATGGATGGATGGGTGGAGGATGGATGGATGGATTGATGATGGATGGATTGTGAGTGGATGGATGGATGATGGATGATGAATGGATGGATGGATGTTGGATAGATGGATGGATGGATGATGGATGGATGATGAATGGATGGATACATGAATGGATGGATGGATGGATGATGGATCGATGGATGGATAATGTGTGGAGGATGGATGGATAAATGGATGGGTGTGTGAATGGATGATGGGTGGATGGATGGATGAATGAATAGATGATGGATGGATGGATGGATGGATGGATGGATGATGGGTGGCTGGATGGATGGATGTATGGGTGGATGGATGGATGACGGATGAATGGAGGATGGGTGGAGGATGGATGGGTGGATTAAGGATGGATGATGAATGGATGGATGATGAATTGATGGATGGGTGGAGGATGGAGGGATGATGGATGGATGATGATGGATGGATGGATGGATAGACAGATAATGGATGGATGGATGGATGATGAATGGAGGATGATGGATGGATGGATGGACGGATGGATGGATGATGGATGGATGGATGGGTGGAGGATGAATGGACGGGTGATGCATGGATGATGAATGGATGGATGGATGGACGATGGATGGAGGATGGATGTATGTATGTATGGATGGATGGATGAATGGATGGAGGATGAACGGATGAATGGATGGATGGATGGATGGATGGTGAATCGATGCTTGGATGGTGAATGGATGCTTGGATGGATGGATGATGGATGGATGATGAATGGATGGATGCATGAATGGATGGATGGAGGGATGATGGATGGATGATGGATGGATGGATGGATGATGGATGGATGGATGGATGTTGAATGGATGGATGGATGGATGATGGGTGATGGATTGATGATGATGGAGGGATGGAGGATGAATGGATGGATGGTTGGAGGATGGATGGACGGATGATGGATGGATGGTGAATGTATAGATGGATGATGGATGGATGGATGGTGAAGGGATGCTTGGATGGATGGATGATGGATGGATGATGAATGGATGGATGGATGGATGGATGATGGATGGATGTTGAATGGATGGATGGATGGATGGATGATGAACGGATGGATGTGTGGAGGATGGATGGATGGATGATGGATGATGATGGATGATGGATGGATGGTTAGATGGATGATGGATGATGAATGGATTAATGGATGATGGATGGATGGATGGATGGGTGGGTGGGTGGAGGATGGATGGGTGGATTATGGATGGATGATGAATGGATGGATTTATGGATGGATGGGTGGATAATGGATTCAGGATGGATAGATGGATGGATGGATGGATGGATGGATGATGGATGGATGGATGCATGGATGGATGGATGATGGATGGATGATGAATGGATGGATACATGAATGGATGGATGGATGGATGATGGGTCAATGGATGGATAATGGGTGGAGGATGGATGGATAGATGGATGGGTGGATGATGGATGGATGGATGGATGGATGGATGATGATGGATGGATGATGGATGGAGGGATGGATGCATGATGAACGGATGGATGGATGGATGGATGATGAATAGATGGATGGATGATGAATGGATGGATGGATAGATGATGGATGGATGGATGGATGGATGGATAGATGATGGATGATGGATGGATGATGAGTGGATGGGTGGAGGATGGATGGATGGATGATGAATGGATGGATGGATGATGGATGATGATGATGGATGGATGATGGATGGATGGATGGATGGATGATGAATGGATGGATGGATGGATGGATGATGAATGGATGGATGGATGATGAATGGATGGATGGATAGACAGATGATGGATGGATAGATGGATGGATGGATGGATGGATTACGGATGGATGATGATGGATGGATGGATGGATTGTGAATCGATGCTTGGATGGTGAATGGATGCTTGGATGGATGGATGATGGATGTATGATGAATGGATGGATGCATGAATGGATTGATGGAAGGATGATGGCTGGATGGATGGATGTTGAATGGATGGATGGATGATGGGTGATGGATGGATGATGATGGATGGATGGATGATGAATGGATGGATAGGTGGAGGATGGATGGATAGATGGATGAAGGATGGATGGTGAATGTATGGATGGATGATGGATGGATAGATGGTGAATGGATGCTTGGTTGGATGGATCATGGAAGGATGATAAATGGATGGATGGATGGATGGAGGATGGATGGATGGATGATGGATGGATGGATGGATGGGTGGGTGGGTGGAGGACGCATGGGTGTATTATGGATGGATGATGAATGGATGGATGGATGGATGGATGGATGATGGATGGATGGATGGATGCATGGATGGATGGATGGATGGATGATGGATGAATGGACGGTGAATGGATGCTTGGATGGATAGATGATGGATGGATGATGAATGGATGGATACATGAATGGATGGATGGATGGATGATGGATCGATGGATGGATAATGTGTGGAGGATGGATGGATAAATGGATGGGTGTGTGAATGGATGATGGGTGGATGGATGGATGAATGGATAGATGATGGATGGATGGATGGATGGATGGATGGATGGATGATGGGTGGATGGATGATGAATTGATGGATGGGTGGAGGATGGAGGGATGATGGATGGATGATGATGGATGGATGGATGGATAGACAGATGATGGATGGATGGATGGATGGATGGATGATGAATGGAGGATGATGGATAGATGGATGGATGGATGGATGGACGGATGGATGGTGGATGGATGATGATGGATGGATGGGTGGAGGATGGATGGATGGATGGATGGATGGATGATGGATGGATGGATGATGGATGGATGGATGGGTGGAGTATGAATGGACGGGTGATGGATGGATGATGAATGGATGGATGGATGGAGGATGGATGGATGGGTGGAGGATGGATGGATGGAGGATGGATGATGGATGGAGGATGGATGGATGGATGGATGGATGGATGACGATGGATGGATTATGGATGATGAATGGATGGATGGATGATGGATGGATGGATGGATGGGTGCGTGGGTGGAGGACGGATGGGTGGATTATGGATGGATGATGAATGGATGGATGGGTGGATGATGAATGGATGGATGGATGAATGGATAGATGATGGATGGATGGATGGATGGATGGATGGATGATGGGTGGCTGGATGGATGGATGTATGGGTGGATGGATGGATGGATGGATGGATGTTGGATGGATGTTGAATGGATGGATGGATGGATGGATGGATAGATGATGGATGATGGATGGATGATGATGGATGGATGGCTGGATGGCTGGGTGGAGGATATATGATGGATGGATGATGGATGATGATTGGGCAATGGAGGAATGGTGGGGATTTGGGATCAATGGAAGGATGGGGCTGGGGTAGGGTGGAAGGATGGAGGGGCTCTTGAATGCATGGATGGATGGATGGATTCCTCAATAGACTGATGGGTTCATGAATGGATGGAAAGGCTAACAGATGACTGGATATGTGGGTGGGTGGGTGGGTGGATGGATGGATGGATGGAAAGCTGGAAGGATGAATGGATGGATGGATGGAAGCATGGACAGATTTAAGAAATGATTTATGAGAAGAACAATGACTATATATGAACAATGTGTGTTGAAATCCTGGAGATATGGATGCTAATGGAAAGCATGGAGGGCTGAATAAATGAATGAATACAGCAATGGATGGTTGGAGTTATGGATGGTTGATCGAACTTGAAGCTCTTCAGGGCCAGGTCTCACTGTGCTGAATCAGCAATTCTATGTACTGAAGGTTGATGATGGGGTTCTTCCTCATCACGTGTTTGGGTTGGTCCTTATTATGTGTTGAGTGTTTGACAGATCTTCAGAACAGCATGGCTGCAAGTGGGATGGACGGATGGATGGATGCATGGATGGATGCATGGATTGATGAATGAATGGATACATTTGCAATTATGAGTAGATGGATGTATAGAATGATCCATTCAATATGGAATGACTGGAGAGTTTTATCTCAATGAGAAGCATTGAGGGTTGCATTGATGAATAGATCCATCAACAGAGGAGTGATCAGATGGTAGATGTCTGAGAATGTCTCTGATCCTGTGTTGGGCGCTTGATAGGACTCTGTAGACAGAGGGGTGGAATGAAAGATGGAAGGAAGGATGAACGATGTATGGATGATGCATGCATGTGTGGATGGATGGATGAATGGATGAACAGACGGAGGGATGAAAGGAGGGATGGATTCACATATAGGTTTCTGGCCTCTCCATTGCAGCCCCAGCTCCACAGGAGGAGGAACCAGCATCGCAGCCAGTGCTGGGTGAGCTCCGGGTGTCCGACGTCACCTCTGACTCCGTGCATCTGGAGTGGAGCGTCCCCGAGGGCACCTTTGACTCCTTCACGCTGCAGTACCGCGATGCACAAGGCCAGCCCCAGGTGCTGCCCGTGGACGGGGGTTCCCGCACGCTGACGGTGCCGGGGCTGTCCCCGTCCCGCCGCTACAAGTTCAACCTGTACGGGCTGTGGGGTCGCACCCGCCTGGGCCCCGTCTCCACCGACACTGTCACAGGTGAGGGGGCTCTGGCACCAGCCCCGCTGAACCGCGCTTTGTAGGGGACAGAAGCTTGGGCAGGGCCCGTGCTCGTCCGTTGGGCAATGGAGGAAAGGTGGGGATTTGGGATCAATGGAAGGATGGGGCTGTGATGGGTTGACAGGCTGGAGGGATTGTTGAGCATGGATGGATGGATGGATGGAATCATGGATGGATGGATGGGTGTTTGCATGGGTTGATGCATGGATAAATGAGTGTATTGAAGGATGTATGTATGCATGCTGTGTGGATGGATGGATGGATTGAAGGATGAACGGATGGATGGATGGATGATGGATGGATGGATGGAGGATGGGTGGATGGATGGATGGATGATGGATGGATGGATGGAGGATGGGTGGATGGATGGATGGATGATGGATGGATGGGTGGATGGAATCATGGATGGATGGATGGAGGATGGATGGATGGTGAAGGGATGGAGGATGGATGGATGATGGATGGATGGATGCAAGAATTTGAATTTATGAGCAGAAGGCTGCATAGAATGACCAGTTGACTATGGAATCCTGGAAAGCTGTCTCCCAGTGACATGCATTGAACGTTGGATGGACAAATGGATAAGTAGATGGTTGACTAGTCAGATGATGGATGTTTGAGTATGTTGCAGACCCTGTATTGAGGTGTTTGCAGGAATTCATAGATGCATGGCTAGAAGGAAGGATTGAAGAGAGGATAATTAATGGATGGATGGATGGATGGAAGAAAGGATTTATTAGTAGGAGGATGAGTAGAGAGTAACGTTGTTTGTTGAATGAGTGGAGGACTGGATGATAGCGTAATGCATGGAGTGCTGAATGGATGAACGGATACAACACTGGCTGCTTGGACTGATGGATCTTTGATAGACTCTGAAAGTCTGCAAAGGCAGGTTTCCCTTTGATGAATCAGTGATTGAATGTACAGAAGGCGGCGGTGGGGTTTGGGCCTCATCATGTGTTGAGTGTTTGAAATGTCTCTAGAGCAGCATGGCGTCCTGTGAGAGGGTTGGATAGGACGGAAGAATGGATGTATTTGGATTGATGAGCAGAAGGATGGACAGATGGAGCCATGGAATATAGAATGTCTGGAGTGCTGTGTCCCAGCATGAAGAGTTGCATGGATGAACGTGTACATCAATGGATAACTGATCAGATGGTGGATGTGCGAGTGTGTCACAGATCCTGTACTGGGTACTTGATAGGACTTTGTAGATGCATGGGTGGAAGGAAAGGTGGAAAGGAGGATGATGGATGGAGGTAGTGATGAACAAATGAATGATGAATGGATGGATGGATGGATGGATGGATGGATGAATAGACGAATGGGAAGATGATGGATGGATGGATGGATGGATGGATGGAAAGATGAATGGACGGATGGATGGATGAATAGATGAATGAATAGATGGATGGTTGGATGGATGAATGGATGAAAGGATGGATGGATGGATGAACGAATGGATGAATGGATGGATGGATGGATGAACGCATGAATTTGTATTTATGGGTAGAAGGATGGATAGAATGAACCACTGAATATGGAATCCTGGAAAGCTGTATCCCAGTGGCATGCATTTAATGCTGGATGGAGAAATGGAGAACTAGATGGATGAATACTCTCATGGTGGATGCTAGAGTACGCCGTTGATTCTGTATTTAGCGGTTGACAGGAATTGATAGATGCACAGCTGGAAGGAAGGATTGAAGAGAGGATAATTAATAGATGGCTAGTAGATGGATGAATGGTGGATGGATAGATTGATAGATGGATCAATGAATGCACCCACAGATGTTCATTCCCTGCATTACGGTTTCTCCATTGCAGCCCCAGCTCCACAGGAGGAGGAACCAGCATCGCAGCCAGTGCTGGGTGAGCTCCGGGTGTCCGACGTCACCTCTGACTCCGTGCATCTGGAGTGGAGCGTCCCCGAGGGCACCTTTGACTCCTTCACGCTGCAGTACCGCGATGCACAAGGCCAGCCCCAGGTGCTGCCCGTGGACGGGGGTTCCCGCACGCTGACGGTGCCGGGGCTGTCCCCGTCCCGCCGCTACAAGTTCAACCTGTACGGGCTGTGGGGTCGCACCCGCCTGGGCCCCGTCTCCACCGACACTGTCACAGGTGAGGGGGCTCTGGCACCAGCCCCGCTGAACCGCGCTTTGTAGGGGACAGAAGCTTGGGCAGGGCCCGTGCTCGTCCCTTGGGCAATGGAGGAACGGTGGTGGGAGGGGATTTGGGATCAATGGAAGGATGGGAGTGTGATGGCTTGGATGGATGGAGGGGTTGTTCAATGCATGGATGGATGGATGGATTCCTTAATAGACTGATGGTTTCATGAATGGATGGAAAGGCTAACAGATGACTGGATATGTGGGTGGGTGGGTGGGTGGGTGGAAGGAAGGATGGAAGCATGGATGTATGAATGAATGGATGGATGGATGGATGGATTGGAGCATGGACGGATGTAAGAAATGGTTTTTGAGAAGAAGGATGACTATATATGAACAATGTGTGTTGAAATCCTGGAGATATGGATGCTAATGGAAAGCATGGAGGGCTGAATAAATGAATGAATACAGCAATGGATGGTTGGAGTTATGGATGGTTGATCGAACTTCAAGGTCTTCAGTGCCAGGTCTGACTCTGCTGAATCAGCAATTGTGTGTACTGAAGGTAGATGAGGCAGTTGTTCCTCATCACGTGTTGGTGTTGGTCCTTATTATGTGTTGAGTGTTTGACAGATCTTCAGAACAGCATGGCTGCCAGTAGGATGGACGGATGGATGGATGCATGGATGGATGCATGGACTGATGAATGAATGGATGGATTCATGGATGGATGGATGGATGGATAAATTTGGAAATATTAATAGATATATAAATTTGGAATTATGAGTAGATGGATGTATAGAATGGTGCATTCAATATGGAATGACTGGAGAGTTTTATCTCAATGAGAAGCACTGAGGGTTGCATTGATGAATAGATCCATCAACAGATGAGTAGTCAGATGGTAGATGTTTGAGTATGTCGCTGATTCTGTGTTGGGCGCTTGATAGGACTCTGTAGACAGAGGGGTGGAACGAAGGATGGAAGAAGGATGAACGATGTATGGATGATGCATGCATGTGTGGATGGATGGATGAATGGATGAACAGACGGAGGGATGAAAGGAGGGATGGATTCACATATAGATTTCTGGCCTCTCCATTGCACCCCAGCTCCAAAGGAGAAGAAGCCACCAACCAAGCCCCGCATGGGAGAGCTCCGGGTGTCCGACGTCACCTCTGACTCCGTGCATCTGGAGTGGAGCGTCCCCGAGGGCACCTTTGACTCCTTCACGCTGCAGTACCGCGATGCACAAGGCCAGCCCCAGGTGCTGCCCATGGACGGGGGTTCCCGCACGCTGACGGTGCCGGGGCTGGCCCCGTCCCGCCGCTACAAGTTCAACCTGTACGGGCTGTGGGGTCGCACCCGCCTGGGCCCCGTCTCCACCGACACGGTCACAGGTGAGGGGGCTCTGGAACCAGCCCCGCTGAACCGCGCTTTGTAGGGGACAGAAGCTCGGGCAGGGCCCGTGCTCGTCCCTTGGGCAATGGAGGAATGGTGGGGATTTGGGATCAATGGAAGGATGGGGCTGTGATGGGTTGACAGGCTGGAGGGATTGTTGAGCATGGATTGATGGATGGATGGATGGAATCATGGATGGATGGATAGATGGTTGATGGATGGATGGTTGGCTGGATGGACGGAGGGATGGATGATGGATGGTTGGGTGGATGGATCTTTGCATGGGTTGATGCATGGATGAATGAGTGTATTGAAGGATGTATGGATTGGCAGTCATATATATGTATGCTAGGTGGATGGATGGATGGATATATGGATGAATGGATGGATGGATGGATGGATGGATGGATGGATGGAGGATGGACGGATGATGGATGGATGGATGTATGTATGGATGGATGGATGATGGATGGATGGATGGAGGATGGGTGGACGGATGGATGGATGGATGGATGGATGATGGATTGATGGGTGGATGGAATCATGGGTGGATGGATGGATGGATGGATGGATGGATGGTGAAGGGATGCAGGATGGATGGAGGATGGATGGATGGAGGCAAGAATTTGAATTTATGAGCAGAAGGCTGCATAGAATGACCAGTTGAATATGGAATCCTGGAAAGCTGTCTCCCAGTGACATGCATTGAACGTTGGATGGACAAATGGAGAACTAGATGGATGAATAGTCAGACGATGGATGTTTGAGTATGCTGCAGACCCTGTACTGAGGTGTTTGCAGGAATTCATAGATGCATGCCTAGAAGGAAGAATTGAAGAGAGGATAATTAATGGATGGATGGTGGATGGATGGATGGATGAATGGAAGAAAGGATTTATTAGTAGGAGGATGAGTAGAGAGTAACGTTGTTTGTTGAATGAGTGGAGGACTGGATGATAGCGTAATGCATGGAGTGCTGAATGGATGAACGGATACAACACTGGCTGCTTGGACTGATGGATCTTTGATAGACTCTGAAAGTCTGCAAAGGCAGGTTTCCCTTTGATGAATCAGTGATTGAATGTACAGAAGGCGGCGGTGGGGTTTGGGCCTCATCATGTGTTGAGTGTTTGAAATGTCTCTAGAGCAGCATGGCGTCCTGTGAGAGGGTTGGATAGATCGGAAGAATGGATGTATTTGGATTGATGAGCAGAAGGATGGACAGATGGAGCCATGGAATATAGAATGTCTGGAGTGCTGTGTCCCAGCATGAAGAGTTGCATGGATGAACGTGTACATCAATGGATAACTGATCAGATGGTGGATGTGCGAGTGTGTCACAGATCCTGTACTGGGTACTTGATAGGACTTTGTAGATGCATGGGTGGAAGGAAAGGTGGAAAGGAGGATGATGGATGGAGGTAGTGATGAATGAATGAATGATGAATGATGAATGGATGGATGGATGGATGAACAGACAGAAGGATGGGTGGGTGGGTGGGTGGATGGATGGATGGATGGATGGATAGACGAATGGAAAGATGGATGGATGTATAGACGGGTGGATGGATGGATGGACGGATGGATGGACGGACGAATGAAAAGATGGATGGATGTATAGATGGATGGAGGAATGAATGGATGGAAAGATGAATGGATGGATGGATGGATGAATAGATGAATGGATAGATGGATGGTTGGATAGATGAATGGATGGATGGATGGATGGGTACATGCATGAATTTGAATTTATGGGTAGAAGGATGGATTGAATGAACCATTGAACATGGAATCCTGCAAAGCTGTATCCCAGTGACATGCATTGAACTTATATTGACAAATGGAGAACTAGATGGATGAGTACCCACCTGGTGGATGCTGGAGTATGCTGCTGATCCTGTATTTAGCGGTTGACAGGAATTCATAGATGCATAGCTGGAAGGAAGGATTAATGGGAGCATAAGTAATGGATGGATATTGCATGGATGAATGGTGGATGGATAGATTGACAGATGGATCAATGAATGCACCCACAGATGTTCATTCCCTACATTGTGGCCTCTCCATTGTAGCCCCAGCTCCACAGGAGGAGGAACCAGCATCGCAGCCAGTGCTGGGTGAGCTCCGGGTGTCCGACGTCACCTCTGACTCCGTGCATCTGGAGTGGAGCGTCCCCGAGGGCACCTTTGACTCCTTCACGCTGCAGTACCGCGATGCACAAGGCCAGCCCCAGGTGCTGCCCGTGGACGGGGGTTCCCGCACGCTGACGGTGCCGGGGCTGTCCCCGTCCCGCCGCTACAAGTTCAACCTGTACGGGCTGTGGGGTCGCACCCGCCTGGGCCCCGTCTCCACCGACACTGTCACAGGTGAGGGGGCTCTGGCACCAGCCCCGCTGAACCGCGCTTTGTAGGGGACAGAAGCTTGGGCAGGGCCCGTGCTCGTCCCTTGGGCAATGGAGGAAAGGTGGGGATTTGGGATCAATGGAAGGATGGGGGTGTGACGGGTTGGCAGGCTGGAGGGATTGTTGAGCATGGATTGATGGATGGATGGATGGGTGGATATTTGGGTGGAATAGTAGGGTAGATAGTTGGGTGGATAGTTGGGTGGAGAGTTGAATGGTTGACGGTTGAATGCATGGGTGAATGGATACAGCTATGGGGGTTGTTATATTTCGGTTCTGATTCAAACTCTCACATGACTCTTTTCATTGCTGGATGATTCATTGGAGGGATGGGTTAAAGAACCACTGCACAGAAGAGTGCAGTGAATGACAGAATAATGAATAGGTGCATGGATGGAAGGGTGGATGATGGGTGAGTGGATCATGGATGGATGGATGCATGTATGGATGGATGGATGGATGGATGGATGGATGGAAGAAAGGATTTATTAGTAGGAGGATGAGTAGAGAGTAACGTTGTTTGTTGAATGAGTGGAGGGCTGAATGATAGCGTAATGCATGGAGTGCTGAATGGATGAACGGATACAACACTGGCTGCTTGGACTGATGGATCTTTGATAGACTCTGAAAGTCTGCAAAGGCAGGTTTCCCTTTGATGAATCAGTGATTGAATGTACAGAAGGCGGCGGTGGGGTTTGGGCCTCATCATGTGTTGAGTGTTTGAAATGTCTCTAGAGCAGCATGGCGTCCTGTGAGAGGGTTGGATAGGACGGAAGAATGGATGTATTTGGATTGATGAGCAGAAGGATGGACAGATGGAGCCATGGAATATAGAATGTCTGGAGTGCTGTGTCCCAGCATGAAGAGTTGCATGGATGAACGTGTACATCAATGGATAACTGATCAGATGGTGGATGTGCGAGTGTGTCACAGATCCTGTACTGGGTACTTGATAGGACTTTGTAGATGCATGGGTGGAAGGAAAGGTGGAAAGGAGGATGATGGATGGAGGTAGTGATGAATGAATGAATGATGAATGGATGGATGGATGGATGAACAGACAGAAGGATGGGTGGGTGGGTGGGTGGATGGATGGATGGATGGATGGATGGATAGACGAATGGAAAGATGGATGGATGTATAGATGGATGGATGGATGGATGGACGGATGGATGGAAGGACGAATGAAAAGATGGATGGATGTATAGATGGATGGAGGAATGAATGGATGGAAAGATGAATGGATGGATGGATGGATGAATAGATGAATGGATAGATGGATGGTTGGATAGATGAATGGATGGATGGATGGATGGGTACATGCATGAATTTGAATTTATGGGTAGAAGGATGGATTGAATAACCATTGAACATGGAATCCTGCAAAGCTGTATCCCAGTGACATGCATTGAACTTATATTGACAAATGGAGAACTAGATGGATGAGTACCCACCTGGTGGATGCTGGAGTATGCTGCTGATCCTGTATTTAGCGGTTGACAGGAATTCATAGATGCATAGCTGGAAGGAAGGGTTAATGGGAGCATAAGTAATGGATGGATATTGCATGGATGAATGGTGGATGGATAGATTGATAGATGGATCAATGAATGCACCCACAGATGTTCATTCCCTGCATTGTGGCCTCTCCATTGCAGCCCCAGCTCCACAGGAGGAGGAACCAGCATCGCAGCCAGTGCTGGGTGAGCTCCGGGTGTCCGACGTCACCTCTGACTCCGTGCATCTGGAGTGGAGCGTCCCCGAGGGCACCTTTGACTCCTTCACGCTGCAGTACCGCGATGCACAAGGCCAGCCCCAGGTGCTGCCCGTGGACGGGGGTTCCCGCACGCTGACGGTGCCGGGGCTGTCCCCGTCCCGCCGCTACAAGTTCAACCTGTACGGGCTGTGGGGTCGCACCCGCCTGGGCCCCGTCTCCACCGACACTGTCACAGGTGAGGGGGCTCTGGCACCAGCCCCGCTGAACCGCGCTTTGTAGGGGACAGAAGCTTGGGCAGGGCCCGTGCTCGTCCCTTGGGCAATGGAGGAAAGGTGGGGATTTGGGATCAATGGAAGGATGGGGCTGTGACGGGTTGGAAGGATGGAGGGGTTGTTGAGCATGGATTGATGGATGGGTGGATATTTGGGTGGAATAGTAGGGTAGATAGTTGGGTGGATAATTGGGTGGAGAGTTGAATGGTTGACGGTTGATGGATGGATGGAGAGATGTTGAATGGATGGATGGATGGATGGATGGATGATGGATGGTTGATGATGGATGGATGATGAATGGATGGATGGGTGGAGGATGGATGGATGGATGGATGATGGAAGATGAGTGGATGGATGGGTGGATGGATGGATGGATAGATGGATGATGGATGATGAATGGATGGATGGATGTTGGTTAGATGGGTGGATGGGTGGGTGGGTGGAGGATGGATGTTTGGATTAAAAGTGGATAATGAATGGATGGATGGATGGATGGATGATGGATGATGAATAGATGGATGGATGTTGGATAGATGGATGGATGGGTGGGTGGGTGGAGGATGGATGGGTGGATAAAGGATGGATGATGAATGGATGGACGGATGGGGGGTGGATGGAGGATGGATGGATGGATGGATGGTGAATCGATGCTTGGATGGTGAATGGATGCTTGGATGGATGGATGATGGATGGATGATGAATGGATGAATGCATGAATGGATTGATGGAAGGATGATGGATGGATGGATGGATGTTGAATGGATGGATGGATGATGGGTGATGGATGGATGATGATGGATGGATGGATGATGAATGGATGAATGGATGGATGGATGGATGATGAATGGATGGATGGGTGGAGGATGGATGGATGGATTGATGATGGATGGATTGTGAGTGGATGGATGGATGATGGATTATGAATGGATGGATGGATGTTGGATAGATGGATGGATGGGCGGGTTGGGTTAGGATGGATGGGTGGATTAAGAGTGGATGATGAATGGATGGATGGATGGATGGATGGATGGATAGATGGGTGATGGATGATGAATAGATGGATGGATGTTGGATAGATGGCTGGATGGTGGGTGGGTGGAGGATGGATGGGTGGATTAAGGATGGATGATGAATGGATGGATGGATGGATGGAAGGATGGATGGATGATGGATGGATGGATGATGAATTGATGGATGGGTAGAGGATGGAGGGATGATGGATGGATGATGATGGATGGATGGATGGATAGATAATGGATGGATGGATGGATGGATGGATGAATGGACGGGTGATGCATGGATGATGAATGGATGGATGGATGGACGATGGATGGAGGATGGATGTATGTATGTATGGATGGATGGATGAATGGATGGAGGATGAACGGATGAATGGATGGATGGATGGTGAATCGATGCTTGGATGGTGAATGGATGCTTGGAGGGATGGATGATGGATGGATGATGAATGGATGGATGCATGAATGGATGGATGGAGGGATGATGGATGGATGATGGATGGATGGATGGATGTTGAATGGATGGATGGATGGATGATGGGTGATGGATTGATGATGATGGAGGGATGGAGGATGAATGGATGGATGGTTGGAGGATGGATGGACGGATGATGGATGGATGGTGAATGTATAGATGGATGATGGATGGATGGTGGATGGATGCTTGGATGGATGGATGATGGATGGATGATGAATGGATGGATGGATGGATGGGTGGATGATGGATGGATGATGGATGGATGGATGGATGGAGGATGGATGGATGGATGGATGGATGGATGATGATGGATGGATTATGGATGATGAATGGATGGATGGATGATGGATGGATGGATGGATGGGTGCGTGGGTGGTGGAGGATGGATGGGTGGATTATGGATGGATGATGAATGGATGGGTGGATGGATGGTGAATGGATGGATGGATGGATGGTAGATGGATGGATGGATGGATGGATGGATGGGTGGATGGATGGATGGATGTGGATGGATGGATGTATGGGTGGCTGGATGGATGGATGGATGGATGTTGGATGGATGTTGAATGGATGGATGGATGATGAATGGATGGATGGATAGACAGATGGTGGATGGATAGATGGATGGATGGATGGATGGATGATGAATGGATGGATGGATGATGAATGGATGGATGGATAGACAGATGATGGATGGATAGATGGATGGATGGATGGATTACGGATGGATGATGATGGATGGATGGATGGATGGTGAATTGATGGATGGATGGATGGGTGGAGGATGAATGGACGGATGATGGACGGATGATGAATGGATGGACAGATGGAGGGTGGATGGAGGATGGATGGATGGATGGATGGATGAAAGGAGTTATTAGTAGGAGGATGAGTAGAGAGTAACGTTGTTTGTTGAATGTGTGGAGGACTGGATGATAGCGTAATGCATGGAGTGCTGAATGGATGAACGGATACAACACTGGCTGCTTGGACTGATGGATCTTTGATAGACTGTGAAAGTCTGCAAAGGCAGGTTTCCCTTTGATGAATCAGTGATTGAATGTACAGAAGGCGGCGGTGGGGTTTGGGCCTCATCATGTGTTGAGTGTTTGAAATGTCTCTAGAGCAGCATGGCGTCCTGTGAGAGGGTTGGATAGGACGGAAGAATGGATGTATTTGGATTGATGAGCAGAAGGATGGACAGATGGAGCCATGGAATATAGAATGTCTGGAGTGCTGTGTCCCAGCATGAAGAGTTGCATGGATGAACGTGTACATCAATGGATAACTGATCAGATGGTGGATGTGCGAGTGTGTCACAGATCCTGTACTGGGTACTTGATAGGACTTTGTAGATGCATGGGTGGAAGGAAAGGTGGAAAGGAGGATGATGGATGGAGGTAGTGATGAACAAATGAATGATGAATGGATGGATGGATGGATGGATGGATGGATGAATAGACGAATGGGAAGATGATGGATGGATGGATGGATGGATGGATGGAAAGATGAATGGACGGATGGATGGATGAATAGATGAATGAATAGATGGATGGTTGGATGGATGAATGGATGAAAGGATGGATGGATGGATGAACGAATGGATGAATGGATGGATGGATGGATGAACGCATGAATTTGTATTTATGGGTAGAAGGATGGATAGAATGAACCACTGAATATGGAATCCTGGAAAGCTGTATCCCAGTGGCATGCATTTAATGCTGGATGGAGAAATGGAGAACTAGATGGATGAATACTCTCATGGTGGATGCTAGAGTACGCCGTTGATTCTGTATTTAGCGGTTGACAGGAATTGATAGATGCACAGCTGGAAGGAAGGATTGAAGAGAGGATAATTAATAGATGGCTAGTAGATGGATGAATGGTGGATGGATAGATTGATAGATGGATCAATGAATGCACCCACAGATGTTCATTCCCTGCATTACGGTTTCTCCATTGCAGCCCCAGCTCCACAGGAGGAGGAACCAGCATCGCAGCCAGTGCTGGGTGAGCTCCGGGTGTCCGACGTCACCTCTGACTCCGTGCATCTGGAGTGGAGCGTCCCCGAGGGCACCTTTGACTCCTTCACGCTGCAGTACCGCGATGCACAAGGCCAGCCCCAGGTGCTGCCCGTGGACGGGGGTTCCCGCACGCTGACGGTGCCGGGGCTGTCCCCGTCCCGCCGCTACAAGTTCAACCTGTACGGGCTGTGGGGTCGCACCCGCCTGGGCCCCGTCTCCACCGACACTGTCACAGGTGAGGGGGCTCTGGCACCAGCCCCGCTGAACCGCGCTTTGTAGGGGACAGAAGCTTGGGCAGGGCCCGTGCTCGTCCCTTGGGCAATGGAGGAACGGTGGTGGGAGGGGATTTGGGATCAATGGAAGGATGGGAGTGTGATGGCTTGGATGGATGGAGGGGTTGTTCAATGCATGGATGGATGGATGGATTCCTTAATAGACTGATGGTTTCATGAATGGATGGAAAGGCTAACAGATGACTGGATATGTGGGTGGGTGGGTGGGTGGGTGGAAGGAAGGATGGAAGCATGGATGTATGAATGAATGGATGGATGGATGGATGGATTGGAGCATGGACGGATGTAAGAAATGGTTTTTGAGAAGAAGGATGACTATATATGAACAATGTGTGTTGAAATCCTGGAGATATGGATGCTAATGGAAAGCATGGAGGGCTGAATAAATGAATGAATACAGCAATGGATGGTTTGAGTTATGGATGGTTGATCGAACTTCAAGGTCTTCAGGGCCAGGTCTGACTCTGCTGAATCAGCAATTGTGTGTACTGAAGGTAGATGAGGCAGTTGTTCCTCATCACGTGTTGGTGTTGGTCCTTATTATGTGTTGAGTGTTTGACAGATCTTCAGAACAGCATGGCTGCCAGTAGGATGGACGGATGGATGGATGCATGGATGGATGAATGAATGGATGGATTCATGGATGGATGGATGGATGGATAAATTTGGAAATATTAATAGATATATAAATTTGGAATTATGAGTAGATGGATGTATAGAATGGTGCATTCAATATGGAATGACTGGAGAGTTTTATCTCAATGAGAAGCACTGAGGGTTGCATTGATGAATAGATCCATCAACAGATGGGTAGTCAGATGGTAGATGTTTGAGTATGTCGCTGATTCTGTGTTGGGCGCTTGATAGGACTCTGTAGACAGAGGGGTGGAACGAAGGATGGAAGAAGGATGAACGATGTATGGATGATGCATGCATGTGTGGATGGATGGATGAATGGATGAACAGACGGAGGGATGAAAGGAGGGATGGATTCACATATAGATTTCTGGCCTCTCCATTGCACCCCAGCTCCAAAGGAGAAGAAGCCACCAACCAAGCCCCGCATGGGAGAGCTCCGGGTGTCCGACGTCACCTCTGACTCCGTGCATCTGGAGTGGAGCGTCCCCGAGGGCACCTTTGACTCCTTCACGCTGCAGTACCGCGATGCACAAGGCCAGCCCCAGGTGCTGCCCATGGACGGGGGTTCCCGCACGCTGACGGTGCCGGGGCTGGCCCCGTCCCGCCGCTACAAGTTCAACCTGTACGGGCTGTGGGGTCGCACCCGCCTGGGCCCCGTCTCCACCGACACGGTCACAGGTGAGGGGGCTCTGGAACCAGCCCCGCTGAACCGCGCTTTGTAGGGGACAGAAGCTCGGGCAGGGCCCGTGCTCGTCCCTTGGGCAATGGAGGAATGGTGGGGATTTGGGATCAATGGAAGGATGGGGCTGTGATGGGTTGACAGGCTGGAGGGATTGTTGAGCATGGATTGATGGATGGATGGATGGAATCATGGATGGATGGATAGATGGTTGATGGATGGATGGTTGGCTGGATGGACGGAGGGATGGATGATGGATGGTTGGGTGGATGGATCTTTGCATGGGTTGATGCATGGATGAATGAGTGTATTGAAGGATGTATGGATTGGCAGTCATATATATGTATGCTAGGTGGATGGATGGATGGATATATGGATGAATGGATGGATGGATGGATGGATGGATGGATGGATGGAGGATGGACGGATGATGGATGGATGGATGTATGTATGGATGGATGGATGATGGATGGATGGATGGAGGATGGGTGGACGGATGGATGGATGGATGGATGGATGATGGATTGATGGGTGGATGGAATCATGGGTGGATGGATGGATGGATGGATGGATGGATGGTGAAGGGATGCAGGATGGATGGAGGATGGATGGATGGAGGCAAGAATTTGAATTTATGAGCAGAAGGCTGCATAGAATGACCAGTTGAATATGGAATCCTGGAAAGCTGTCTCCCAGTGACATGCATTGAACGTTGGATGGACAAATGGAGAACTAGATGGATGAATAGTCAGACGATGGATGTTTGAGTATGCTGCAGACCCTGTACTGAGGTGTTTGCAGGAATTCATAGATGCATGCCTAGAAGGAAGAATTGAAGAGAGGATAATTAATGGATGGATGGTGGATGGATGGATGGATGAATGGAAGAAAGGATTTATTAGTAGGAGGATGAGTAGAGAGTAACGTTGTTTGTTGAATGAGTGGAGGACTGGATGATAGCGTAATGCATGGAGTGCTGAATGGATGAACGGATACAAACACTGGCTGCTTGGATTGATGGATCTTTGATAGACTGAAAGTCTGCAAAGGCAGGTTTCCCTTTGATGAATCAGTGATTGAATGTACAGAAGGCGGCGGTGGGGTTTGGGCCTCATCATGTGTTGAGTGTTTGAAATGTCTCTAGAGCAGCATGGCGTCCTGTGAGAGGGTTGGATAGGACGGAAGAATGGATGTATTTGGATTGATGAGCAGAAGGATGGACAGATGGAGCCATGGAATATAGAATGTCTGGAGTGCTGTGTCCCAGCATGAAGAGTTGCATGGATGAACGTGTACATCAATGGATAACTGATCAGATGGTGGATGTGCGAGTGTGTCACAGATCCTGTACTGGGTACTTGATAGGACTTTGTAGATGCATGGGTGGAAGGAAAGGTGGAAAGGAGGATGATGGATGGAGGTAGTGATGAATGAATGAATGAATGAATAAATGAATGAATGAATGAATGAATGAATAAATGAATGAATGAATGAATGAATGAATAAATGAATGAATGAATGATGGAGGGATGAATGGACAGAAGGATGGGTGGATGGATGGATGGATGAATGGATGGATGGATGGATGAATAGATGAATGGAAAGATGGATGGATGGATGGATGGATGGACGGACGGACGCATGAATTTGAATTTATAGTTAGAACGATGGTTCGGTAGATGAATGGATGAATGGCTGGATGGATGTATAAATAGATGAATGGAAAGTTGGATGGATGGATGGATGGATGGACGGACGGAGGACACATGAATTTGAATTTATGGGTAGAAGGATGGTTGGATAGATGAATGGATGAATGGATGGAGGGATGGATGGATAGATGAATGGATAGATGGATGGTTGGATGGATGAATGGATGAATAGATGGATGGATGGATGCACGCATGAATTTGAATTTATGGGTAGAAGTATGGATAGAATGAACCACTGAATATGGAATCCTGGAAAGCTGTATCCCAGTGACTTGCATTGAACGTTGGATGAACAACTGGAGAACTACATGGATGAATAGTCAGATGGTGGATGCTAGATTATGCTGCTGATCCCGTATTTAGTAGTTGACAGGATTCATAGATGCATGGCTGGAAGGAAGGATTGAAGAGAGGGTAATTAATGGATGGATAGTGCATGGATGAATGGTGGATGGATAGATTGACAGATGGATCAATGAATACACCCACAGATGTTCATTCCCTCATTGTGGCCTCTCCATTGCAGCCCCAGCTCCACAGGAGGAGGAACCAGCATCGCAGCCAGTGCTGGGTGAGCTCCGGGTGTCCGACGTCACCTCTGACTCCGTGCATCTGGAGTGGAGCGTCCCCGAGGGCACCTTTGACTCCTTCACGCTGCAGTACCGCGATGCACAAGGCCAGCCCCAGGTGCTGCCCGTGGACGGGGGTTCCCGCACGCTGACGGTGCCGGGGCTGTCCCCGTCCCGCCGCTACAAGTTCAACCTGTACGGGCTGTGGGGTCGCACCCGCCTGGGCCCCGTCTCCACCGACACTGTCACAGGTGAGGGGGCTCTGGCACCAGCCCCGCTGAACCGCGCTTTGTAGGGGACAGAAGCTTGGGCAGGGCCCGTGCTCGTCCCTTGGGCAATGGAGGAATGGTGGGGATTTGGGATCAATGGAAGGATGGGGCTGTGATGGGTTGACAGGCTGGAGGGGTTGTTGAGCATGGATGGATGGATGGATGGATGGAATCATGGATGGATGGATGGGTGTTTGCATGGGTTGATGCATGGATAAATGAGTGTATTGAAGGATGTATGTATGCATGCTGGGTGGATGGATGGATGGATTGAAGGATGAACGGATGGATGGATGGATGATGGATGGATGGATGGAGGATGGGTGGATGGATGGATGGATGATGGATGGATGGATGGAGGATGGGTGGATGGATGGATGGATGATGGATAGATGGGTGGATGGAATCATGGATGGATGGATGGAGGATGGATGGATGGTGAAGGGATGGAGGATGGATGGATGATGGATGGATGGATGCAAGAATTTGAATTTATGAGCAGAAGGCTGCATAGAATGACCAGTTGACTATTCCTGTAAAGCTGTCTCCCAGTGACATGCATTGAACGTTGGATGGACAAATGGATAAGTAGATGGTTGACTAGTCAGATGATGGATGTTTGAGTATGTTGCAGACCCTGTATTGAGGTGTTTGCAGGAATTCATAGATGCATGGCTAGAAGGAAGGATTGAAGAGAGGATAATTAATGGATGGATGGATGGATGGAAGAAAGGATTTATTAGTAGGAGGATGAGTAGAGAGTAACGTTGTTTGTTGAATGAGTGGAGGACTGGATGATAGCGTAATGCATGGAGTGCTGAATGGATGAACGGATGCAACACTGGCTGCTTGGACTGATGGATCTTTGATAGACTCTGAAAGTCTGCAAAGGCAGGTTTCCCTTTGATGAATCAGTGATTGAATGTACAGAAGGCGGCGGTGGGGTTTGGGCCTCATCATGTGTTGAGTGTTTGAAATGTCTCTAGAGCAGCATGGCGTCCTGTGAGAGGGTTGGATAGGACGGAAGAATGGATGTATTTGGATTGATGAGCAGAAGGATGGACAGATGGAGCCATGGAATATAGAATGTCTGGAGTGCTGTGTCCCAGCATGAAGAGTTGCATGGATGAACGTGTCCATCAATGGATAACTGATCAGATGGTGGATGTGCGAGTGTGTCACAGATCCTGTACTGGGTACTTGATAGGACTTTGTAGATGCATGGGTGGAAGGAAAGGTGGAAAGGAAGATGATGGATGGAGGTAGTGATGAACAAATGAATGATGAATGGATGGATGGATGGATGAACAGACAGAAGGATGGGTGGGTGGGTGGGTGGATGGATGGATGGATGGATGGATGGATAGACGAATGGAAAGATGGATGGATGTATAGATGGATGGATGGATGGATGGACGGATGGATGGAAGGACGAATGAAAAGATGGATGGGTGTATAGATGGATGGAGGAATGAATGGATGGAAAGATGAATGGATGGATGGATGGATGAATAGATGAATGGATAGATGGATGGTTGGATAGATGAATGGATGGATGGATGGATGGGTACATGCATGAATTTGAATTTATGGGTAGAAGGATGGATTGAATGAACCATTGAACATGGAATCCTGCAAAGCTGTATCCCAGTGACATGCATTGAACTTATATTGACAAATGGAGAACTAGATGGATGAGTACCCACCTGGTGGATGCTGGAGTATGCTGCTGATCCTGTATTTAGCGGTTGACAGGAATTCATAGATGCATAGCTGGAAGGAAGGATTAATGGGAGCATAAGTAATGGATGGATATTGCATGGATGAATGGTGGATGGATAGATTGACAGATGGATCAATGAATGCACACAGATGTTCATTCCCTGCATTGTGGCCTCTCCATTGCAGCCCCAGCTCCACAGGAGGAGGAACCAGCATCACAGCCAGTGCTGGGTGAGCTCCGGGTGTCCGACGTCACCTCTGACTCCGTGCATATTGAAGTGAGGCGGTCCCCGAGGGCACCTTTGACTCCTGGCGCTCTACAACACGGCGATGCACGGGGCCAGCCCGGTGCTGCCCGTGGACGGGGGTCCCCGCACGCTGACGGTGCCGGGGCTGTCCCCGTCCCGCCGCTGAGTTAGACCTGTACGGGCTGTGGGGTCGCACCCGCCTGGGCCCCGTCTCCACCGACACTGTCACAGGTGAGGGGGCTCTGGCACCAGCCCCACTGAACCGCGCTTTGTAGGGGACAGAAGCTTGGGCAGGGCCCGTGCTCTTCCCTTGGGCAATGGAGGAAAGGTGGTGGGAGGGGATTTGGGATCAATGGAAGGATGGGGCTGTGATGGGTTGACAGGCTGGAGGGATTGTTGAGCATGGATTGATGGATGGATGGATGGAATCATGGATGGATGGATAGATGGTTGATGGATGGATGGTTGGCTGGATGGATGGAGGGATGGATGATGGATGGTTGGGTGGATGGATGTTTTCATGGGTTGATGCATGGATGAATGAGTGTATTGAAGGATGTATGGATTGGCAGTCATATATATGTATGCTGGGTGGATGGATGGATGGATATATGGATGAATGGATGGATGGATGGATGGATGGATGGATGGATGGAGGATGGACGGATGATGGATGGATGGATGTATGTATGGATGGATGGATGATGGATGGATGGATGGAGGAAGGGTGGACGGATGGATGGATGGATGGATGGATGATGGATTGATGGGTGGATG